GGAATAGATTCTCCCATTACAATACTGCTTCTGTCACTTAAAGTTTTGACAACAGTTGTAGCTGGAGACTGGAGCACTTTCCGAGAAAGCCTCATCCTTCCATCAGCTGGATCACGTCCAAAGTATTTCACCTGTGTTAAAAAAAACAAATATACTTTAAAAGTTACAGCACATTGACTGATGCCCAAATTATTGGGTTGGCCAAAAAGTTCGTTCAGGGTTTTCCCTGAAATGTTAATTTAAACTTACATGGTCCAAATAAAGCAATGCTTAATATTTTCACTTGTTCACTGAAATCATGGCTCAGTGCTAACTGGAGGTATATGCTAATAAATATAATTTGGTTAAGTAGTGATTATAAAAAAAGAAGAGACAGGGGATTTAGTTGCCCAATTATAATCTTCTGTTAGACTTATCTGTGCCTTATTCTCTCCAGACCAGGTGCCTATACTGGAAGAACAGTGAAAGCCATGGTCTGTGAACCTAGATAAGGGCTTCCTGAGCCTAAGTATGCTACAAACTATATAAGATTATGCTTAGGTCACTCACTGTTAACACTCAAAGGACCATCTATCACACTGGAGGTTATTTGGCTTGAACACAGACATTGAAAGTCAGGGGGAAATGTGGTTGTCTTTTTACATCAGAAGGGACTTAAAAACTATCTTATACAGAGAGATTATGTTTTAGTTCTTATCTTTCTCTAGAGGCTACTTGAACAATGGGACTACAGATTGGGAATAAACCAGAAGTCTTAGTTACTCAGGTCATGGGTATCAGGAACAACTAGAACAGAATGTGGTGCAGCCAAAAAAAAACCAGACTGTCAACCACTTCTTTCATCTACTCATACAGGACTATTAAAAAGGTAAAAAAAAAGGTCGATTTTGTTATCAGAATTCTAGAACTGACATCATGGCTTTCATCAAACTAAAGAACTTTTAGCCTCAAGCAGTATAGAAGCAATTAAAGTCTCAACTCCTCAAATACCTTGTACCTAATACTCTGCATAGCCATCCCTGACTGGCTCATGTATTTTTAAAAGCTCTAAAGGGGACTACTGTCCTAACACAACCCGTAAGCTCCTTGAAGGAAACTGTATCTAAATTAGAATTGTATCTAAATCCCTAATGAGTCTGTTTTAAGCAACCCTAAAGTTAAAAAAGAAGCACAGCATATAAATAATATAAATCACAGATGTTGATTTGATTCTTTCAGCTTATTTGATGAAACAAATAATTGAAACTTCAAGTATAATTTACAACTTTAAGGCTAAAAGGTTGAATACAAGTACCTGAATTTCTTGGCCAACTTCTAAACCTAAAGCAGTGGGATGTTTAATCTGAAAGAGAACGTGTTAATCTATTAGTGGTCATGCATAATTACCTACTATCCATGGTAGTACACATTTTTTTCCAAGTGGAAAACAGCTTTATTGGTTTTTCTGATTATAAAATCTGTTAATTATAAAGATTTAAAATAATACAGAAGTATTCAGATGATAGTAAAAATCATCCAAAACCCCTCTGCTTGTAGATAACTAATGGTAACACTCCAATGAGTATCCCTTCAAATAGCTATTTAGTGTGTGTCTTGCATTTATAAAAATGGACCTTACTGAGCTTGTTGTTTTATAGTATATAGATTTTTATTCAATAATATGTTGAGATCTTTTCATATTAATAAATGAAGCATTATAATTGAATATTCAAATTAAATTATTTGTTTAACCAATCCCCTAAAGATGGTCATTTAATTTATTTTAAATTCCAGTGTTGCAAATGTTAATAATCAGTGAATCTAGGTGAAAGGTATATGGGTGTTCGGTCTATTATTTTTTCAACTTTTCTGTAGGTTTAAAAAGTTTCAAAATACAAAGTTGAGGGAAAATAAACTGCAGTGTTGCAGTGATTATATATTCATATAGTCTATCCTCTCAGAACAAAGTATGAGAGGAACTTTGTGGTGGAACTTCTAGGTCCAAAGGTAATTGTATATTTACCAAACACTCTCCAAAAAGTTTGCCCCACTTTACATTCCTATCAGCAGTGTATGACAGTGTCCATTTTTTCTCTACACTCTTATTTATGCACATTGGGAATTTTCAACTATCTGAAAAGTTGAAAAATGGTAACTTGGCTTTATTTGCGTTTTAAAAAATTGCTGTTGATACTGAATATCTTGGTTAGCTTAAAAAAAAACAACAACAAACAGTTTTTCCATGTTCTTTGTTCATTTTCCTATTGATATTCATCTTTCTTACTGACCTACACAAGCCCTTTGTATATGAAGTCTCTGTCATATAAGCAGTTTTTCCCCTAAGTTGCTGCTTGTCTTTCAAACTTACTGTAGTTTTGCCATAATTTAAAAATATCATGGGGTCAAATTTTATCACTTTACTTACATTTTTGGCTTTGATATCATGCTGAGAAAGATTTTCCCAGTCCCAAGATTATTAAATATGCATATTTTCTTCTAGTGTCCTTCCTCAACCCTCACCCCTCCCGATGACCAGATTTTCTTCTTCTGCCCTCACTGCCTTAAAAAGAAAAGTTTTCTTTTTTATATTTAGCTCCTTGATCCAAATGGGATTTTGGTATAAAAAGAGGAAAGATCCTGTTTTATGATAACTAGCTGTACCAATATGATTTATTGAATAATCTTTGTTTCTTCACTGACTAAAAATGTAACTTCTAGTATGTATTATACTCTTATGTATATAACTGGGTTTATTTCTGGTCTCTATTTTCTGTTGTTTATTTCTGGGCCAGTAATACTGTTTTATCCTGTATTACTTTATAATATTTGGTAAAACAGACCTATTCTTTCTCTGCCCCCATAGTATTCTTGAATGGTTTCATATTGGTTTCATAATGGTCTTCCAAATGTATAGACTACAACAAAGACTAAGAACATCCTAAGAATTATCTTTCCATGATTGACTGGTCAGGAAAATTGGGAAAACAGGGCTGTAACTAGATATTTTTACTAACTGCTGTGTGTTAACTCTAGAGGCTATTGTACCTTAAAACACTCGAGAATGTTTTTATTCCATCATGGAAAGAGAAATATTATCTGGTAAACAGTGTAAAACAGCAGTATCTCTGTCTTTTTGGTTTTGTTTTTGTATTTAGGCTAGTAGTGGACAAGATGTACAATCCTCATCAACCTAGGTAATTTCACTATGGTTATTTTAAGGCAGTTTTTAAAATAATCAACTATGCCTTTCTTGTTTTTACCTTTCGTTGATCAAGTTGTGTGTTATGAAGTAGTACTGCAGTCATATTTGGATATAGTTTAACCATTACTCCAGTGTCTCTATGAAAAGGAAATAAGCCTGGTTAGAGCAATAAGTAACTCTATTATCTACTGATAATTAAACTGTGATTATGTTTTCATAGGAGAACAAAGTAAAAAAACACATAAAAACCCCTCTCCAGTACATGTTTTTGTAACTATAAAAAGTATCTAAGAGGGATACTTATTTTTCCAATTGAAAATACACTTTATATTTAAATACTTATAGATCAAAGGACAGAGAAAAGATAAAGGAAAAAATATGCTGGTTAAAGCTTTTGGAATATATATTCTTTTATATTTCTCTTCATAATATTTTCCAAAAAGTTTTGAAATGACACTAAATATTTTAAAATAAGTGTAGAATTATCATCAACCTATTAAGGAGTGATTTAAGGAAGGGGGTTACATAAAATGGCATACTTATTTCATTAAAAAATTTATCTTCCTTTTTTTCTTTAATCTACTAAAATAAACCATCTCATTTCTTAGTTTTCACCTGTGATATTAAACAAATTATCCCATTGCCTTTTATAATTCATTTCAAATAGTTCTGAACATGCATGCTACATCTGATAATTTTTTTTTCTTAAAAAGGGAATTTTCTGACTCAGAAAATGCAATCTTTTTAGCTGCTGAAAAAATGATTTGAGGTTGAAACTGGCATTTAAAAAAAGTGCACTACTTAGGCCTTAAGTAGTACTATCTTTAAAACAGACAAACAAGAAACTACCAAAAAAAAAAAAAAAAAAGAAAAAGGAAATATTGCTAAGTCTATTTGGGGCTTGTTTACTGTTTATTGGGAAGATTAAAATGGTGGGAAATTTGGTTAAAGAAAATTCAGTTAGAAGAATATATTAGTATAATTATAATCACAGAACCATGTTAGTGAAAATCTACAAACTGGTGCAGAAAATAAATTTTATGTTAAAAATAAATAATGATTATATGGTAATTGACATATAATCTAAACATCTTACAATTTCAAAGTAAATAATGCAAATGTGAAGTTAACATGAGCTTGTAATATAAATCTTATAAAAACCAGCACAGCATTTTAGTTGATATTACCTGATTTCAGTTATTGTGGCGGTATATACTGCTCCAAATTCTAATTGCTGCTCTTGCTGTAAGTGCAAAATAAGCTGTAAGATTCATAAAGAGAACAGCAACAAAAAGTAGAAAAAAACTGACTATTAAAAGATCTATTCTTACATCATCTTTGCAGATTTCGGTAATGAAGTCTCTTGCTTCGTGCATGGCACTGGGTGTTGGTGCAAATATAGAAAATGTTTCTTCGTCCACCTGACTAATAGTTACTCCTTTAAAAAAAATAATTTTATATATTAAAGTTAACTTGCTCATTCCATTGGAGAATAGTCATAAAAGTAGATGTGAGAGCAGGGGAATGACCTGGAAGTAGCTGGGCAGGGTTGTGCTATGCTTAATCACTGCTTTAGAAATGAAGGGATTCATTTACCAACAAATACACACTGCACACCTACTATGTATCCAACACTGTGCTAGGCCCTGGGGATACAACAGTGAGCCAATGTCCCTACTTTCTGGGAGCCCACAATCTGGTGGGAGAAAGCATATAAGTTCTTATTTTGGAGAGTTTGGTTTTGCACTCTTAATTATGAGAAGAAACTATACTAGAACTCTTTCCTCACCTTTTCTTCTTTCTCCCTCTTACTCTTTAGAGTGGTGAACAGATGGATGAGGGACAAAATCATGTCCGTTTCTCAATCTTGAGAACTGCCCAAGGTGACTCTACTTCTCGCTCTCCTTCAGTAACCTCAAATCTGGTAAGTACTATGTAACCCAAAGATTGATTCCAGAAAAAAACAAATTGTAAAGCATACTACTTCTACACATACCCTTTAAATAAGAGTCTAAATAAATAAGACTAAGTGAAAAATAGCAGAACTCATAATAAGAAAAATTAAAGCAAAACTCCTCTAAAGTGAAAAAGTAATTTTTCTAAATGTTTGATTTTAAAATGTTGAAGAAAAACTGATGAATTCTGTCAGTCTTCTTGAATATAAAGATGATCGTTTGCTAATTTATTATGAGGCATACATAGAAAACTTACAGTAAAGACATGTCAGCGTTACATCCTTTTTTCATCTCATTGAGATGTCAATGTTATATCTGTCTCTCATTTCTCAAACATATTTTTTGAGAAACACAATAGAGGTGAAATGGCAAACTTACCTGACCTAGCATTAAATAAAAAATCCCAAACGTCATACAACTCTTACCTGTTTCAGCTTGAAGTTTTTTTAAATGATATCCACCTGGTCCAATAAATTTTGCTCGTTTTGATAATGGAACCTGAACAGTTTCTGAAATGTAGTACAGACAAAAATATAAATTATTTAAATATATATATATATACACACATACACACACACACATATATATTTATGAACCTAAAACATGTACTGGTCACTCAAGACTTGGTCTAGACACATGTAAAAATATTTCAGCATGAAATATAGAAAAACAATTTGCTATGTGACTAAAAACAATTCTAACATCTAAGAATATCCCCTCAAATTTAAAGTATTTTAACTATAAAAGCATTTGACTTTTTTGTTTTGTGTATGGATTTAAAAAAAATTTTAAATACCAATGTACTTTCACATGTTTACCTTATCATGAAATCAGTAATTTTAATGTATTACCTACAACAGGTCCATTTTCTTTTCTAGATGCTCGAGGTTTTGAAATAGTTTTGTTCATAATCTGTAATATCTCCTTCTTTGCCACTTGAAGAGATAAAAACATAATAAAATTATAACTGTATAAAATAAATGTGATCAGATATAGCAGTATTAGTTTTATGAAGTAGGATCCAAACTCTTTAGCTTAATAATCAAAGTTCTTTACATCCCAATTACCTTAACAATTCTACTTGTATTCCCTTCTCCAGTCCTATCTCGGGGAGTCCTTTTGTAAAAACTGAATTTTCACTGGTTTTCCACATTCATGATTAGTCATGTACCCAGTAACTTAATACTTCTTGATCTAGGTTGTTACATTAAATTTCATTTTCTAAAGCAGTATTTTATAATAAGCCTATTTTTAATAATAAGCCTAACGGGAATTATAGTTCCCATTAACACAAAGACAATGAAAAAAGGAGAATCAGGCACACTGGCTTGGCTTACCTGAGGCTTGCTGAATGGCCTCCATTACAATTTTTATTGGTATTCCAGGTAATTTAATGTCAGCCTAATATGGAAAAGCCGAAAATTTATGTAAATATTGATTTATGACCTTATTTAAATATTTTAAAGTGAAACAAAATGGGTTTTAAAATACCTGTAATGCAGTTATTCCCTTAGTAGTGCCGGCTATCTTGAAATCCATGTCACCATGGTAATCTTCAATCCCCTTAAAGAATTTAACAAATTATGATATAATTTTAAACAAAAGTGAAATTCACCCATAGTCACTGTAGAGGAATTTTTAAAAATAGCTTTATAAGTAAACCATGTCCTTTAGGATTATACACAAAAAAATACCTATATATTAACTACTGCTTTCAATTTGTGGCTTTTTAAGTTATAAATATTTCATTAGAAAATCACTTTATTTTCAGATCATGTTCCCCCCCATAAATGCATAAGGATTAATTTATGATCATCCTAAAGTGAGCCATTATGGATACTTATACTGTAATATTTATTTTTAACTCACATTCTATAAAATCCAAGGCAAATATGCAGAAGAGGAAAGTAAGAACAAGGACTTCTATTTCTCCAGCACTAGCATTCTTCTAAGCACACTATGCTTGTAAAGTGTGTATAATCTTCACCATTAAATATCTGAAAATGTGAATATACTTGCCAGAATATCTGTCAGCAAACGATAATCTTCTATTTCACCCTTGTCAGGATTGTTTTTGGTGACCAATCCTATTGCCACACCTGCGACAGCAGATGAAATTGGAACTCCTATAATTGAGAAAGAGAACTTGTGTGCAGTGTGTACATCCGCCTAACATAGGTTATTCATCTTATTTTGACATTGGATGGTGTTCTAAATTGACAGTTACCAAAACTAAGTTAGAGTACAGGTCTTAATAAATCATATGACTATCTCCTTTCCTCTTTAACATATAATAAAAGCTCCTTAACATAATTCTAATTTTGTTCTCAACAAAAACCTCTCTAATAATAGCAAACTTAACTCTTAAAGTAATCCATTTCTTTGCCCTTTGCTTTTGGTGCCTTATTTTTTTTTTTTTGAAAAGTAATCATGTATTTGTTAAATCGTTCCAGCCTGAGCCCTTTAGTCCACCTTCCCGTGACAGACACTATTAGATTTTTTGTATATCCTCCCAGAAAATTATACTGAGGGAGTAAAAATGTGAGTGTAATCTTTTCTTTATTTTACCTTATTCTTTTGAATGGCTGCAGAGTACTCCCTGTATGTGTTTATAAGCTATACAATAGAAGTGGGGTTACTGAGTCAAAGGGTGTGTGAATTTACATTTGTTATAGTGTCAAACTGTCTTCCACAGTGTGTAGCATTTTATACTTTTACCAGCAGTATATGAGGGTACCTGCTATTCTATATTCTTGTTAATTTTTGTCAAATCTTTTGACCTTTGCCATCTGAATGATAAAGATGGCAGCTTATTGTTTTTAACTTGATTTCTGTTTGAGTGAAGTTGAACTTTTTTTCATGTTTTTAAACCATTTATTTCTTTTTCTGTGAACTGCCTATTCATGGCCTTCAACCATTTTTTTACGTGGTTGTTAGTCTTTTGCTTATTGATTTGTAAGAGCTCTTTTAATATGGACAGATCTTTGTTAAATATATAGAATATTATGGTAAATAAAATATAAATATGAAATGTAATATAAAATATTATTTTCTAGTTTGTTGACTTTATTGTAATTTTTTTTTTTCTGTAGAGGATTTTATATGCAATCATGGTTCCTGGATTTTGCTTAGAAAGTTTGTTTTTTTTTCTGGCTGTGCCCCGTGGCTTGTGGGATCTTAGCTTCCTGACCAGGGATTGAACCCCAGGCCACTGTAGTGAAAGCACTGAGTCCTAACCACTGGACTTCGGGGGAATTCCCTAGAAAGGTTTTCTCTGTTTAAGATTTTCATAAAATCTTCCTTTTTTAATTAAAAAAAAAAAGTTTAAAGTTTTGATCACTTGGAACTTATTTGGTATAAAGGAGTGTGACAGAGACCTCATTTCATATTCTCTAAGCAATCTCACATATGCCCAGTTTTAACTGTCACCTACAACGTTGATGACTTACAAATCTATCCCTCCTGCCTAGTTCTCTTTGCTAAACCCTGGATCTGTATAGCCCATCTGCCTATTGGACATCTCCAGCTAAATGTCCCCAACACATCTTAAATATATATATACAATTATATTCAAAATTTAATCACCCCCAATAAATCCCTTCTCTCCTGCATTCCCTGTCTTGTTTGAAAGCAATAAGACACTCATACTAGAATCAACACGTCTTTCCTCATTTCCTATACACTATCAAGTCACAAAGATCTGATTAGTTTATCCTCTAAATTAAAAAAAAAAATTGTCCTGGATTCTGAAATATCCATTTCGACTCTTTTATTCCAAGTTCACATTATTTCTTGCCCTGGCAGCAGTTTCCCTGTCCAGTTTTTTAGATTTTAGTAACCCCACCCGCACCCCAGCTCCTGTTCTCTCCCACCACATCCCCTAGGGCTCTCATGTAAGCTAGGAAAAACTACCCCCAAAAGAAAAAAAGCAGATTCGCATCATGCCACTCTTCTCCATAAAATCCTTCAAATTCCCTATTACCTGCTTCCAGGAATTTTTTATTTAAGTTCTGTGGTCAAAAAAGTTTGGGAAATAGTACATATCCTGCTCCTAGAGATTCAATATTCACATTAACATATTTAAGTTTATTTAAACCATATTAAACACACTTGCTTAACCCTGTGCAAACCTACTTTAGAACTCATTTTTTTTCCACAGTATACAATAATCAACATCCTGTTGTACTCTATTTTATGGAATACTGAGTTGGGAGATACTAGCTTTAAAAGTTCAAACTCCTTAATGTAATAATGATCTTTGAAATCTGGTCCCAGTTTATTACATCATCACTTCTTTCAAATACATTTCAGGAACACACTATACTGTTTCATAACTTTGCGTATGTTGTTCCTTTCACATGAAATACGGGCCCTGCTGATAATATGCCTGGTCAACAACCACTCAACCTTTAAACCCAGATGAAATGTCGCTGTCTCTATGAAGCCAATTATGTTCAACCTAGTTCTTCATCCATATTGTACATATTTGTATTATCTCTTTGATATGTTAGTATCTTTATCTTTGTTTTTGTTCCTGAAAATTTTTTAAAAACTGGGTACCATTTGTATCCCTGGAGCATAGACAGTGTCTGATGTAGGACATGGCAAGCACTCGTGTTTGAATCAAATACCATTTGTTGGCTCTTCTCACAGAATTTGACATTTATTCTTGTCAAATTTTTTTTCTATTTGGCTCCATATTTTTTCATCTTGTCAACATTTTTTTTTAGAGATTAAAAACTGTCATTTAACATATCAGTCACATACTCCTTTTTATCAGTATCCTTTTTATTGGAAGGCCAGTGTCCTTAGTCAAGTCAATAACAAAAAACATTGAAGGGGACAGGGTTTAGGATGGAGCAGCTTCAAGTATTCTACTTGAGACCCCTCTCCAACCTACCCATCAGATTATCCAGTCCTGGCTGCTCATCCTTCAACCAGTTATAAATGGTATACTTATTACCCGTTC